GAGGTGACACATTTATCAACCTAGGTCAAGTTGCCTTTGGCAATACCAGACGAAGTGTACGTTTAAAGCCAGGGGCCACATGATAGAACGACAAGCAGTTGGCCCGCTTATCTTTACGTCCGCTCAGTTGCAGTGCACGGTTGACTAGAGGTACGCACCGATGGCAAATGCAGCTAGTTGTCACAACCAGTAAGGCCACAACAACTCAGTTTCGAATGATCCGTCGGATGAAACACGAGACCGTATGCAAAAATTAGGATGGTCGAACTGATACTGAATTCTTATAATCTTTAAACGTACCAAACGTTTTACCCTGCGGACTTTTAAGAGCTGACGTTCAGTGACTTCTCATGATGGATGGGGATAATTCTACACAATATATCAAACAAATTCAACTTTGCCCCAAGAACGGCCGTATGGTCAAATTAATTGTTCACACGTTGGCGCGATGCTGAATGACTCGTACTATTGCACTGCGGTATAGTGGTTACGTAACATTATGCACTCAGGTGACAACAACAGCATATACAGCAAGCAGCAGACAAGTTAAAGTGATTCTTAACAGTGACATCTATTAGACCTTGATAAACATGTATATATAGTAATGTACTCGAACAGTGGATATTTGAATTTGAAGAGAAATTGCTTCTGAGCATGCAGGTGGAATAGCCGGTCTGTTGTGTTGGGTTGCCACCTAGACGGTTGTTGCGACCATTATTCAGTAAGCCGGAAACATCGTTCAACGTGAAAAATTCAAAACAGTGCTATCCACCAAAGTCGCTCTCAGCTCTCAGTGCATTTGAAGATAACTCGTCCTAACTGTGGCTATCATCAATCAATATATCTGCATTCCCGATGTTTTTCTTGCTAATTTCTATACAAGTACACCGTGCTATGCTGGTATTTCCAGACAATACCACAAAAAACCTCAATGTTGTATATTTCTGCCATTTCAGAAGCCTCTAGTCTTCTGGGATATACAGTTTGGAAATAATTATATTCACTATACTTTTTCCGGCTGTTAGAAATTACTCTAGGAATTCAGTTTTGCAAATGAGGAGATCGGAGCACACAACGTCAAGAATAGCGATGTGGCCATCTAAGAGTATTTAAAGCCTTAGGAGATCTCATTGAAGTGTACGCTGCTCCAACTTACTGGTTACAGGAGCCTTCCAGTAATGAGGCTTGGTGGACTATCCATCCAGATACCGATTCATATCAGTGTACAGATGACTTGCTCTAAGCAATACGCCAGTGTGACAGCTGTGAGTGTAGTCGGTAAGTGAAGGTGATGGGCTTGTTTTTATTTTTGAGCCGAACACTCAGAGAGCTAAACCCAACGCATGATGAATGACACTGTTATAAGAGCGAGTGTCTGCTTTTCCGGGACATCCGATCTTGGTATACTACAATCAGAAAAGCAGGCTGTAGATCATAATGTTGCCGCCGTAAGAAAAGGCGCCAGTTTTCTACCAAATATTTCCATGTATGAACTCAAATAAATCATTAAGCTAGTTTTTTGAAAGCTGTTTACGAATTGTTTTTTCTGTACTCATCCAGTGAATGTTTGTTCATCCAATTTCCGGTGCTCGCCACCTCTTCCAGATGAAGTCTTCACTCGTCCTTTTTGTTCATGTTATTGTTTTTCTAATTCTTTGTTTGTTTACTTACACGAGTGAACACAACAACCCTCGACCTACTACTCGTCTCAAAAATCATTTGAATAAACCTCCCCTATCATATCGAAATATAATACTCATTATTTAGTCTAACCCTGAAGCGAGATTGCTTTCAGCAAGTTGGGTTCAATCTACTGCATGTTTAAAGTGTGGAGTTGAAATTCTGTTATAGATGAGTCGTGTATTGGTGACTCAAAATGAACTCAAGTGTATCTCAAACTCACCATCAACCATCCTAGTTCTCACTTATTCCATGAACCACAGTGCTCTTGTTGCCGCTGCCATGTCATCGACACTTCTGATACTTTTGCTTCTCCAACCTAACAAAGCGAGTTTTCAGTACGCTTCATACATCTTGCACCTCGTGATGAAGCCCAAAAAGTGAAAACGTCGGATCGGAATCGCAATTTGTTCACTTTCATTTTGGACACTGATTTTCAGCCTGTGATGTGATGTAGCGGCCAGTGAGCGAATGCCGTTACATTTCATCCTATCTCTCGTCGTTGTTACAAACAAGATAACTATTCCAACCTGTTGGCCAGTCACAAAGCCATTCGATTCCGACTGAACTCATTCTTGATCGTCAGCTCCGATTTTTCTTTGACATCAGGCTTTCAACTACTTCCCACCTAAATTCTTGAAACAATAACTTTTCGTTCGTACGACGGAAAGGAAAAGATCATCAGTGGCATTTGGCACCGGCTAGCGTCATTGACTTATTAAAATTTTAACGCACGAAGACCTCAAATCCTCATATTACTCAAGAGTAATCACGGTCTGTGTGCATATCTTCCGACCGCGCCTCCTGGAAGACCAAGGCGCTTACAAGAAATCCCTGATCAGTTCCGTGCCTCAAATTTGCCACACAATACGAACAAGCTTATGCACATCCACTCTCAAGTCAACTAATAGACGCACATTACTGGCCATGTCAGTCGTCACATCGAGTTTTACCTTCCCAAAAATTTTAGTATTTTCCTACAAAACCGATGTGCGCATGTTCAGCGCACCGTGGTTCAGTTGGTAATAAGTTTACGGTCATAAAATAGTTACAAGCTCCTGCAATGGTGGGACAGAGTCTCTTCGACAAAAAATCTACCGCGGATGTCATAAGTTATCGTGTAACATATGCAACAGGTGCTACCGTCAGTTTTATAGTTTTTTTGGATATCTGTGGCAGATAAACGCCTCATTATATTGAGTAAAGTGCTAGCGGAATGAACGGTAGTTTGGAGCATGCCTAACATCTGGTTCTAGTTACTTCATACAGATGATTTTATTCGCATTCACATTGGTTTTGTTCAAACGGTCCCCCTTCTGTCCCAGCACAATTAATCTGGTAAGTTCTCAATAATATGAGAGGCTTCGTACTCAAGTTTTACTCGTATTTTGGCTCACCAGCAGTGCCTATCCCTAGCCGCGCCGAAGATTCGACTCCGAATATCTGACATGCGAGGTGGGCGGGTTTCAACCACTAAACTGGTTACTTTGGAAGCATCCAAACTATTAAATCTATATCGGGGATGTTGTTCGGGCTTGAACAACGCGATTGGTTTGCCGACAACCCACTAACTGTATTGATTGTATCAATCGAATTTTATGCTGGTTCTGTGCAGTGTTGTCGTGTAGTGCTTAGGTGCCTATTTGTTTGTACAAAATGTAGATATGGATGGGGGATTTTTTCTGTAATTTTAGCTTTTCCTCTAGAACGTCTCGGACATGGCATATACGTCAAAGGAATAAAAATTGCTAGTACTCGAAAAAATATGTTTATAAGGATGGACGATCGGCAAGGACGATGATCTTGGTAAAACCGTCTTTTTCTGCAACGTCGATCTGAAGGTATAGGCGATCACTTTTCAGATGGAAACGGTATAATATGAATTTACGCAGCGGAGAAAATGCATAGAAGAACACAATATTGGCATTTTGTGCGATAATCGATTGACATGTCCAGTGCTGCTCGTAAAAAAGGAACGGTTTCAGTGTTTCACTTACGGAACAAATTGGGAACAAACTATTGTCAGAATCAGTAAACCGACAACTGACTGTAGTACCTGGGATGTGATGTGGGATCTGATAATAAAAACGCAAAACATTCGGGCTAGGATAAGCAGGCTTCGCAAACGATTATTCAAGATTACAGTAACCTGAAATTTGAGTGACATAGTGGACCACAAGTTACCGATTAAATCAGATCTTAAGGGATGGTTTTTGGTAACTAGTAGACATATTTTTATAAGTTCATCATCAACTATTGAACTAACATTTTTCACGCAAAACACATGCTTGACCTGCATCATCTGTTACTGAGAAGCCTCTGAAAAAGCCTGTTTTCCACGTGTCTTAGAGTTATCCCCGTAAAAACGTGCTTAAACGTGAGCGGTGATTGTAAGTTCCTTTGTTCTCTTTCCCGCAAAGTGGTACGGCTGGGATTACTGTATGAGAGGGCGGCAAAATTCCAACGGTAAACATTAAAAACTATTTCAGTCTGATTTTCAGTTTAGCCAAGCTCGGGAAAGGTCATAGGGTTACACGTAAGCTCTTGTTCGGACAGTCCGCAGTTTTAATTTTCTTCTAATTTTTCTGTCACCTCAATCTAGGACTTCAGCAGTGTCTCAGCCCCCTACTTCCTGCAGATCACATAGCAGTTTGGCACCGATTGAGTGCCACAGCTGAACAATTCGCGCTTTATTTGACGTAGTATTCTTCTGAAGACAAAATATGTAACCGTGTAGGATTTTACCCAAAGACGAAACGTTTGTAAAACATATGTTTACGCAGTCCGCCTCTGCATATGTTTGGGTAACTTTTTTGTGAGCGTTTTATTTGAGGAATCAAAACAATTAGGTTACTTTCTTGTAATTGATTATTTGTGCGCAAACCTTAAAAATTCCTATGCCTTGTAGCTGATTCACCGTTCTTTTTTAAAGCCTCTAAATAATGCTGAACCCTAACGTCTCACTGAGTGAATCGAGGATGCAAAACCCATGAAATCAGTTTTCAGCATCTTTGCTACTGTCTGGAATCTCTACCCGGCCATACGTGACTTATTTGCAACCGCGATACCCGTATCAGTTAAACGAATTAGGCGCTGTTGGTCGATCCATTCATCACTGGAAAGTTTAGGCTGCTTGTGCGATGTAATTGGAATGCTAGTGGAAGAAAACACCGTTGTGGGCGAGGTGCTAACATACAACGCTGTGTTCTGGCTCATAAACATTCTGACTAACACGAATTGCCGAAAGCATTTATTAGCCCTCCTAGCACAACAGACCTTTCGATTATCTCTCCAATGTCTGGGAAAACCATATCGCTTACCTTTGTGTACTTCCGGTGGACAAGTGCAAATCTGTCCGGTTTTGTGCTGACTAGGATCTGTTGGCATTGTGTTCTGCACTACTTGTTGGCCAGGAGCGCCTGTATTGGCTGAAGGAATGCTATTCTGTCCAGTCGGTACGGCAATGTAGACCAACGGCTGGCGGTAAACAGGGAGCGTGGGAGAAGTGGACGGTTGCGGTGGCTGGCCTGGGATCATGTTAGAAATCAATCTGTGGATTGGCAATGCAAAAACAGCAGATGGTTTAACTCGGATGAATGTGCGAAGCTTGAACATCCCTAAGTACCAAAGCCTCAGACAGCTGTTTTGTCCATTCTGGCGCTCAGCAGCACGCATTCGAATGAATCGAGTAACCACAATTAACTATTCCTATTAAGCAGAATAAAAAACAACGCAAGGAATCAGAGAGATTTGGACTTCTAGGGATGGTGGCTTATTTTTCTTTGATTGTTGTACTTCGTGGTTGAAATAGACTCATTAATTCTGACTGCTTTATAGCGTGTTTGTTGTGCTGGAAATGCTAATTATATTGTACTGTATTATATATTGTAATATATTATTCATTGCTGAAGTGCCAATTATGTACCGAAGTACACATTATTTTAAAAGTTTCGGTGTGTTTTCATTGTAAGACAAATGTAAAAAAATCGTTACATAAACCACGAACTCTCTAAATACACTGATCGGTAACCAAACCTCTATGAAACGGAAACCCTCTACTTTGGATTTCTCAGCAGATTTCTTAAAATCTCTCTAATCTGCTAGGCTTTGGAATAGAAACCATTCATGATATAAGCTTACGAGTGACTGTGAATTACTCCCTTCCTTGAGGGAATTTCCCTTCAATTCAGGAGTCCAAAAAAGCACGATCAAAATTTCTGCACTAGAATGTTAGAAATACAATCCTATCAAAGTCTTCTAGACACCGGGCGAAAGTCACCACAAAGATATCTTTCACAATTGCATATTCATGACTGAAACTTGACGATAGGGTGTAAAAGTTCACTTAAGCGCTCAATGGTCTCAGTCACTGAATACAAAATCCTTCAACTTTTTCCCATCGCGAGCCGGTACAGCACTCGCAAGTTGGATGAAGAGAGAATCAAGTGAGACTGCGAAGCTTTCAGTAACTGTCATCTACTTACACCCAACAATTTCGAATGATTTAACCCAATTCTTTCTGGATCTTGATTTTGAACCTAATGTGGATTTTTGTGACCATTATTTAATGAGACCACATCTTTCGGATGTCCAAAGCAAAGGGACATTGGTTCATTTGTAAAAGTCAAAATAAATAATAAAGACAGTTTAATTTTTTTAATTTCTCGACCAAGGCGGGTTTCAATAGCCCCATATTTCACTCATTGTCCTAGAAAGACCTTTTTAAGTCTTGTTATCACTGGTCAAATTATAAGGATTTTACCGAGCTAAAATGGCAAACGAAAGCGGGCGAGTTTGATTTCACTCGAAAAGCTCAAAATATCTCAGTGAGGATGGTGGTATATTACTCCTGATTTGAGGTTTTTGAAAGTGCGACCATATTTCTTTCAGACCGGAACCAGCCAAATGATGGTTGAAGCCAGAGATAAGAAAACACCTAACGGAACAATCTAATGATACTTTCCATCAAAAAATCTACTGGTTTCATACGAATGGTACATTCAAACGTATTCGTTACCGTAGAATGCAACCTAAGAATTTAGAGATCAATCAACCGAGGTAATTCAGGCGGTATTATTTTTCCCGATTTCCTCTGCAAAACAGATGTGTTTTTACTATGCCAATCTTTTTACAGTGAATTTTCTTACAATAAAGTTTGCGATGTACCAGTTTCTCATCACTTTTCCAGAGTACATTCTTCGGTTGTTGTTCCGTGTGTGTCATGAACGACAGTGATCAGTTTGGTGGCTTAACAATCGAATTTGACCGGTTGACCAAAAACTTGAAGTTTTGAGTCCCCGACACACGAAGTACCGTCGTTTTCTGTCCGGGTACTTTAGCTTACCCGAGATTTGTGGCACTGGTTTCTCGTGTTCCAAAGCCGTTCGGGATTAAATGAAAGACTGCATTTTTTGAAGGGAGTCATCTTGCTCAAGACGTTTATCAAACGCACACTTTGATAGTATCCCTGTCACCAGCTGGCCGTTTTATTTTGAAGCTTGAGATCTTCTTAGACCATTTCATTTGGATAACGTTTATTTTCGTTATTCAGGGTTACAGACGTAAAGCACATGAGATTGACACAAGACGCGTCCGAAATTTCCTGGACGGATACACTGATTAAATTCCACGGGTCATCTGGTCAGTGTCATGATAAAGCTGCTTGTACATAGACCTAACTTTCACGTACATAGAATGTTACCATGAAATTTGATCAGTAGTGTTTCTCTGGTGACTAAAACCTGGCTTTGATGTTAGGTAGCAAGAATTGGAGAGTTCAAATGGTCAACTTGATGGCACATATCTACATACAAATGAGTGATGATGCTGGCTGTTTCCCTGAGAACATAAGTAACACAACTGAGGATGTGTTCAGATGAGCGCTGTTGCGCACGTCTGCAGCAACAACTGCAGCAGAACTCCTATACTAAATGGGGGAACACGAGGATTAGGACTTCACTCTTTTATTAGGAAACCTGGTAGCTGGTGCGGTTGAATTTAACACATTTTGTGGGATCATCATTGACCCGCCTGTATCTGGAATCAAGAAACATGTAGGCATCCTAATTCTATTTTGGGATATGCCCTCAAACTCAGCAGATCACCCGAGGTATTCGTTTTCTATGAGCTATCCTGTTCAAGAATCATGCATTATGTTTCAGGTGACCTGAGCTACTGATTTTCCTTACGTTTTTCGGCCACCGACTACCACGTAAAGCTCAAATAAGGTAAATAATGGCCGATCAATGTGTAAATATGGCAAAATACAAGTCTATTGACCAGTTTAAGATAATTATATCCTGTAAAGGTGAACTGGTGTCCGATTCAAACGAAGAAGTGTCGGACAGGTAAGGATTGATCGAACTAGGAGTACTCAGAATGGATTGAAAATTATCAGTAGCAGTGGGTACGAGTTGTCGACAAGACGCTTACATAAAACCCATGACATCTAAACAATTTACATTCATTCACACAAAATTGTTTGCTAAAATTGGGTCTAAAAGCTGATAAAATCCACAACACCAGTCTGCTTAGATGAGTTCCTTCAGAATGGAATTTCACGTTGTGTTTGCTAAGTACAATCAAATCCATGATGTAACAAGAAGAAAACCTCAGATAAACGTTTTTGGAATGAATTGGATCACATCATACTCAACTATAGGTTGAATAGGTACATTAGTGAATAACAGGAAAGGATGAAGCAGCACTGATAGAAACCAGTTGCTGGGTCCTGTACAATATATTATCCAACCCCATGGCAGTTCATGAGATTTTGTTTTACATTGTGGGATGGTCGGTTACTCAAAAATCCGAATGTTTTACCAATCAAATGAGAGCGTTTTGCTATGCCGCATCTTTCGTGCACAATATTGGCTGTAATGGAGTACCGACCTGATGTAACTTGAGGATATCATTCATCGTTGGACTTGTATATAGTGGTTTTGGTTGCTCACATCCTGCTGCTGATGCTGGCTTAAGGGAGTAAACATTTTTATTTATTTATCAATGAATATCTGCCGTAAAATTAAGGGCTTTGTTATTCCGCCTTTCCTAATTACCATTCTTGGTCATTCCATGAGTTGAAACGGATACGTCATTTTACCCACTTCAGCGTTCGCCTTATGATGATCAAATTTCAAGCAAAGTTGCTTCCGGATTTTTACAGATGAACACTACCTCGACAAGAATATGAGCAGCTCACTAGTTGATTTAATTCTGGTTCCATTGTTTGCAAACAGGCTTTCAAATAGATTCTTCTAATTCAAACGAACGCTTCAGCATCTCACATCAATGGATAAGAGCTTTCACCAGGTAGGACAAAACAGGCACTGATGCGTAACGGTATCACAGGTGATACAAAGAGATCACACTTATCCGATTGCTCTTCGAGCACGCCGAGTAATTGATCATTTATTCAAATTACCTACCGTGGTGCATCTGTAATTGTCCTTTTTCTAACTTTTCACGTCACCTCTACTGTTTACGCTAGTTTTACACAGAAAATCATTCAACTTTTCACAAAGGAGTTCTTCCTTTCGACGGGTTGGCGGGTAAATATCATGGGCCATGACGAAAGGACAATTTGTACATCGACCGGAGAACACAAAATAAGCTGATATTTCACGAACAGATGAACCACCACAAACTTCACAGATGTTGGACAGATACGTTGCTCTATCCCGTCGGCTTAATTCAGTTGGATAGTTTGCAACAGTGAGTTGCTTCATCCATCGATACACAACTGTACACATTGCGAAGATTGCCTGGAGAAAGTAGTTAGGTTATGTCAATAGACGATACGAAATATCTGTTGGCAATACCACGCTGTCATAGCTACAACGAAGGCACAAAAAGCACCGACGACCAGATTTGGTGCACACGCATTCGGAGAGTTGGCTCAGGCAGACTAACACCGAGAGTACTTGACATGCACCAGCGTATACAGCTAACTGTGGGGGGAAGTAATTAGCTTGTTTTGCGGTTTCCCACAGTGTAGGTTAGGCATCACGGAGAATTTTCTCGGAAACACTACGCTATTGCCGATCAACTCAAATGAAGTCTGGTCAAGAACGAACCAGTAATACTAATACCAGTATTACTAACTTTACCAACTATTTTAGATGACAGTCAACTGGTCAATCTGAACCAACCGCATGGAGTAGTTCCATCGTTTTCTCCCCTAACGGGAGCAGAAATTTAGTCCAGTTGGTTAGTGAAGACTTTGACTCTTTGAAGATGAGCAAGCAGAATTGTAGACTACCTTCCTCAAGTCCTGAGACAAAGTCAAAGAGAAGACAGAAGAAACACGCCTTCCCACCAGTCATATTTGTGTGTACAAAACGAAGACAATATGATCGACTGAAGTTCCATTGAGACTATTACTACAATAAAAAACGTAAATTCATTTTGTTTAGTAAAGAGTTGTTCTATTACAATAGGTCCGCTTTCAACCATCTTGGCCTTATTAGCTGACAAATTGGACGAATATGGCAACAGCCAACAATAATTTAAAAATTGCAACGGATTTCAATCATCCG